TGCATGAAGTGAGAGTTCGAGGGGCACAGTACTCCAAGAACCAGGATGACATCAGGCACACATAGGTCCAGTGGGCTGCATCCTTGTTGTAAAGTTTCTGTGACAATTTCCAAGTGAAGAAATCTCCAACAGCAAATGCACAAGCATGAAGCACTCTAGGCATGTGAATCTGGTGGGGAAGAAGTGTCGGGTTTTATCAAATCTGTACATGTATTAAATAACAATATCAACAGTGCAACTAGAACTCAAACACAAGTGATACTGAGGGCAATCATGCAAGGGCCATTACAGTGACTGTGTTGCTGGGAAATTGAAAAAGAGAGAGATTTACAGAGATTTATAGTAAATGTACTATATAAATAACTGAATCTTGTTTCTACAATGTGATTTAGGAAATTTTGTTAACCCATTGCCGCCGGGGATGGCATGTACGTACATGCCATGCTCACTGTGAGTTGACTTGTTTGATTGTTTTTACACATAGATGGCTACACTTGTACTTACACTTGTAATGGAGTGGCTCAAATGAGTCGGTGTTGATTAGACCAAAGACTGGCTGGGGAATTCCCCACATCATAACCCCATTAAGAACATCTGGAGGCTCATGAATAGGTCACTCAAGTAAGCCTAATGCATGGATTTTGGGCCATGTGCAGGCTGTAAGATGCCCGGATCCAATGGGTAAGCAATAATAAAAATTAGAACTAATTTTTTGTGAATATTCAAGAAATAGGGTAAACGATGAAGCCAGGTAGGCCTAGTTACTAACTTTAAGGTGACTAGTCCATCTACGTGTAAAAACAAACTGCATTCCTGGCACCATTGGACTAATTCTAGACTTTAGTGTAAAATAAAACTTACCAATAACAAAGGATAATCCAAACTAAAGACAGCCAACACCTTGTACAAGCAGGCAAGGGCACCGGGATACAAAATGCTCCGTAGACCTTCCTTCCATTCCCAAGTGAGGTAACCATACCTGTGTGATGTCAATTAATCAAACGGTTAGTGAACTGATGACTGGAAAAAGAAGTATGAAGAAGAAGTAAGGAGTACAAAGAATGAAGAAGAATGAAGAAGAATGACAAAGAAGAAGAAGAAGAATGACAAAAAAGAAGAAGAAGAATGACAAAGAAGAAGAAGAAGAATGACAAAGAAGAAGAAGAAAAATGACAGAGGAGAAAAAGCAGAAAGAAGTGTGAAGAAAAAGAAAAAGAACAACAAGGAAGAGATGATAATGATGGTAGTGATGAGGAGGATGAGAAGGAGGGAGGATCAAAAGAAACAAGAGAAAAAATAACAAAAATCTAGAAGACAAGAGAGGAAAAAAGGGAATGAAAGAAGAAAATGAATAAGAAGAAAGATGATGATGATGAGGATGATAATGATGATGATAGGAGGCGGGAGTGGGGGAATAGGAGGAGGAGGGGGAGGAGGAGGAGGAGGAGGAGGAGGAGGAGGAGTGGGGGAGGAGGAGGAAGAGGAGGAGGACGAATAGGATGGTAGGAGGAGGAGGAGGAGGAGGAGGAGGGGGAGGGGAGGAGGAGGAGGGGGAGGAGGGGGAGGAGGGGAGGAGGAGAAGGAGGAGGAGGAGGAGGAGGATGGGGAGGAGGAGGAGGAGGAGGAGGAGGAGGAGGAGGAGGAGGAGGAGGAGGAGGAGGAGGGGGAGGAGGAGGAGGATGGGGAGGAGGAGGAGGATGGGGAGGAGGAGGAGGAGGAGGAGGAGGAGGAGGAGGAGGAGGAGGA